TATAAGGTACTAGCTCAACCATAGGAAGGAACCTCAATGCAAGGCTATTAAGAAAAATGAGGGCAGAAACATATCCAGGAATATTATTTCAATCCCACACTAGCACAAATACTTCTCTAGGTAAGAAGTTATTGCCTGTGATGAAGTGTGAGGAATGCTACAGACCTGGTGGCAGGACCTTCCTGCCCTGACCCCATTCAGCTGAGTGGGGATCAAAGTGCTTTTCTTGACGGTGAAGTTGCCTACTTCCTGCAGTGTTCTGGAAAACATGGTCAAAGTGGGGGGAAAAACTCTTTCTCAGAAACATTTAATGTCAAATGAGTTACTTTTTCTATTAAGAATATTTGTGGAGCTGGGCACGGAGGTGCACACCTGTAATCCCAGTGGCTCAGGAGGCTGAGACAGGAGGATTTCAAGTTCAAAGCCAGCCTCAGCAACTTAGTGAGGCCCTGAACAACTTAACGAGACCTTGTCTCAAAATAAAAAATAAAAAGGGCTAGGTATGTAGCTTATGGTAAAAAGCCCCTGGGTTCACTCCCTAGTTTAGAAAAAAAGAATATTTGTGAATTTTAAACTGTACTACTAGATTGATTTTTTTAGGTATATATAAATTTTTACAAGATGTAGTGATTATGTCAGTTTTAACAGAAGATTTAAATATTGGTGATTTTTGAAAAAAACATTTCATTATGGAGATGTATATATTACTTAACTGGACTTTAGAACTTTATTATGATTTGCAGCATTAGGGACTGAACTGAAGACCTGAAACAAGCACTTTACCACTGAACTACAGCCCCAGCCCTTTTTATTTTGAGACAGGGTATTGCTAAATTGCCCAGGCTGTCCCTGACCTTGCAATCCTCCTGCTTTAGCCTTTGAAGGCACTGGGATTACAGGTGTGCACTATCATGCCAGGCAGAATTTTCTTTATTTTTGAAAAATGAAGATACAGATATTAAGTCTGTAGTAAATTATTTTTTTGGTAAATTATTCTTAATAAAATATAAGCTAAAAGTAATAGAAGATGTATCACCAAAGGAAAATGTTGAGTTCAGTAAAAATAATTAAGCATTGGAAGAGATGACTTATAAAGGCAATTATGGCAATGAAATCAGCCTAGTGGGATAAGCATATTTTATTTGATCTGTGTCAGTCTTTCTTACTTTACATATTGTCTTTGAGAAGCATTCTAGTGCAAAATAGATGAGGGTTAAAGTGACAGGAAGGGTTATAATTTTCCCATAGAAGACATAAATAACAATTCTCCCTTCCTTCATGGTCAAAATTTTTCCTGTGTAAGGATCTCAGAATAGTTTAGTTACAATGTTCTCTTGACTTTATCAGAATAGTGTAATGTGAAACCTTGCAATGTGAAACAATCTATTTTTAAAAGAGTCTTTGTTAGGTGGCTACTTCCCAACTATTTGAAAGCATTTCAAAGATTGAGATAGCTATAAAAAATTGAAATATAATTTCTTTTACCTTTGTGAAACAATTCTCTTTGTTTTGACTGTAAGTCACCTCAATGCCAATGTTTGAGATGAAAAGAATCTACATTATCTTCACATTTTTCTCTGGAGATTTTATTTTTAAACAGCAAGTCAAGTCAGGTATTTTTCTTTTTCTTTTTAAAAAATATTTAGTTTTTTAGTTGTAGTTGGACACAATACCTTTATTTTATCTATTCATATGTGGTGCTGAGGATTGAACCTAGGGCCCTGCTTGTGCTAGGTGAGCGCTCAACTGCTGAGCCACAACTCCAGCCCCAAGTCGGGTATTTCATAGCCATGGTCTAATACAAATAAAAGATGGGGCTCCTGGGTTGGTAAGCATGTAGAGGTGCTGGGAAGGGGTCCACCCCGGGAAGGAAGGGGGCCCCTAGGTATCCCCTCCTCCATGCTTTGCCTCTTCCATGTGGTTGTTTCTGAGTTGTATCCATTATAATAAACTAGTAAATTGAACATGACCTTGGATGTTGATGTAGCTAATAACCTCCACATAATTTTTGATGGATGAATGATCTCCTAATGTGGAAGTATCGAATCAAACCTGAAACAGCACATTGATTCAGCTACACAGTTTTTGATGGTGTCATCTTGGTTCAACTCTGGCTACCACCACTAGGAGATGGGTGTAGGAACATGGAAAAGAATGGGATCTGGGTATTTGCAAAAAAGCTCTTAACAACAACAAAGATAACATTGTTGAAGAATAGGCAATCTGAGCTGTAACTAAGAGAAATATAAAGTACTTCTCTACCACCACAATGCCTGAAACTGCTTTCTACATGAGTCCCACACACATATAGTAGGGATTTTCTTGAATATGGACATTGGAAATATTTCCTTTTCAACATTAGTGGTGAACCCATGTCTTCTTAATCACCAAAATTTCTGCTTCAGAACTACTATATCCATTCTTTTCTTTCTTTTTTTTTTTTTTTAGAGAGTGAGTCTTGCTATATTGCCCAGGTTAATCCTGAATTCCTGGGTTCAAACAATCCTCCTGACTTGTTTTCTTGAGTAGCTGGGATAATAGCTGTGCAGCACTACTTCCAGAACAAGAACAGTAGTTTATTACATATAAGAACTGCATGATTCAGTACAATGAAAGTCATTTTTTTTTTTTTTTGAGATAGGGTTTTGTTTTGTTGCCTGGGCAGCCTTCAAACTTGAAATCCTCCTGCCTCAGCCTCCCAAAAGCTGGGATAAAAGTCAGCTACTACTACACAGTAATAAACCAGTAATTTTAAACAAGTAATTTTTCAGCATAGGATTGAGAAATTAATATATGCCTAAAATACTCTTTGAAACTATCTAAAAGACTAGAATTCTTAGAGCATGATTTTTCCTACTGACAATAGCCTGCCCTCAGTATTTCAATTTCTACAAATTGGTTTAAGAATACTCTTCTTAAGTCACACATTTACTAGGAGGATACAATCTGCCTGACAACAGCTATCAAGATCTTTTGGTAGTGCTTGTAAATGTTTTGCACTTTGGTTAGAAATATGGTAGTTTTGCTCTCTTATTGTATCTCTTTCTCTTCCACCAGACTGGCCTCAAGTGTAGCTGGGATTACAGGCTTGTGCAATTGCACCTGACAGCATTTTTGTGTTTTTAAGTAATATAATGTTACTGTTATAGAATATGTGTAGTTAAAATATTCTGTGAAGATCAGAGTATATTCAAGTTTCATCATGTTTGGTGACAAATCAAAGACCATATTGCTTGTTGTTGCTCATAGTTTTCAGAGGGTGCCTATAGCTTAAGCTTCAAAATCAAAAAACATTACATGGGCTCAAGGAAGTGATTTTCTTTACCGTGACAATTGTGGTAAGTTGACACCCAAAATGATAATAAACTTTATTCTTGTGTTGTAATTAGGTGAACTTGCATTAGGCTCAAACTTTGCGGCCCCCCCAAAATTGGAGGCTGACTCCGGTTTTGATTTGCAAGAAATAAATTTCTCCATTATTCTGCCTGAAAAACATAATTCAAATGTTGTAGGAATGAGACTCTACAGTGAATCCCCCTAGTAAGGAAAATGGTCAGTTTATTTCCAAGTGGAAATCCCCAATTGCCACATCATATCAATCATCTGACACATAATCTGACTTCCATTGAGCTGGAATGTATTTTAAAGGTCAGGTCTCTGGATGAAGAATTTTAGTTTAGTGGGTTATGGAGCAGAAATGCCTAAATCTGGAGCATAGCTTTACTGCTGGCAGAAATAGCTTCTCTTCAAATAGCAGAGAGGAAGAAAGAATGATTTTTAAGCTCCAAGTCTTTTTTGCGTGAGCACATTTTCCTATGTTTTTGCCTGCAGTTCATTACGAAGTTGTACTAAGAAATGGGAAAATAACCATTTTAATCTTACTTTCATAAAAGATGCACACCCGAGTCCAGCAGACATAATTTATTTTTCCTATATTTTAAAATTTGGGAAATGCCACATTAGAATAAAAATTCCAGATTTTTGGCTTCTGTGAAGAAATGACAAACCCTGGGTATGGTGGTCGTTTCCTATGTGGAAAAGTAGGCTGGAGTTGAGAATCTGCTGCACTCTTTACACGTGCTCTACAATTTGCCATTCCTTACCACTGCCAAATGTCTTCCTTTCTCCCATTTTCATTTTCCCTGCTCTACTCTGCAGGGAAGAGACTCTTCAGTTTAATCAGGTTATTAAATTGATGAAACGGTTTTTTTTTTAAAGTAAATCTTTTTAAGGGGTCGGGGGGCACCAATAGCTGCTTTTGCTTCGAAAGTCCTAAATATGCGGATCTTAAAAGATGTGATGACCTTTAACTACTTTTTCAGAATGGCCAAAAGCGTGGAACTGGGAGTCAACGGATGGTCCCCGCTATCACTAGGCAGCTGGGTGACCTTGGGCGACTCCGTTAAGCTCTCTCAGCAAAAGGTGATAAATGGGTCTGCCTAAATATTTGTTTTGAATACCCCACAAGGTTGTTGCACCGCACAAAACGAGATTTTAAAAGTAGTTCTAAGTAATTTATAAGTTACAAAATGCTTCCTAGCGCAAGCGTCCGCTACAGTGCGACAACACCGCGGCTTCAGAAGTTGCGTTACTAGAATTCACTCCAGTTTCCAATGATCCCACCTCCCACGCTCAGGTGGGCGAGCGGAAGAAGCTTCGGGTCTTCAGGGTATTAGGTTTGGAAAACTGTCTTAAGAAATAAAGCAAGAAGTTCCTTGGAGAGGGTAAAGTTGTGGGCTGCATTTTTAGGACCCCCAGAGTGACATACCGACGCCGGGCTGAATTCACAGCCCCGTCGCAGAGCCAGCGGGGGAACCAGTCCCTGGGCCATCTCTCTGCTTGGAGTATGGCCTCACAGACCAGGCCCAAACCCTCCTGGCGCGACCCAAAACCGGGACCCCGGACTTCGCTCTCACCCCCAACCCCCACAATCACGTCCCCGGTTCCTCCTCCACGTGACAAGAGCCGGAACCGTCACTTCCGGCCGCGCGGTAGCGCGCCTGCGCGGGGCGCCCGGGCTCTGTGAGCGGTTGTCAGCAGCCCTGTGCCACCAACGGCTGCGAGTGGCGGGCGGGACGGGTCGGGCTGGGCGGCGGCAGCGCGGCAGGCTGCGGTCCTAAGGGTGTGCAGCAGCGCGGTCCAGCCCACTGCCCTGAGCGGCCGGCCGCCCCGCCCCTTCCCTCTCCCTCCCTCCTTCGCTCCCTCCTCCCGGGCTCGCGCTCGGGCATTCCGTGAGGCGGCGAAGGCGCCCGGGGCGCTCGCGGAGGCGTCGTCCTCGCCCCAGCGCTCGGGCCCGCCCCCCTGTGCCCCGCCCTGTCTCCGCCCTCCCCACCGCCCTCTGCGGGAGCCGGGCAGCTGCAGCGGAGCCGCGGAGCGGGCGGCGGGCCGGAGCTGTGCGCTCGCGGCGCGCGGAATGTGAGGCTTGGCGGCCCGCAGCACGCTCGGACGCTCGGACGCTCGGACGGGCGAAGGGCGGCGACCCCTTGCGGACGCCTGGCGCGCTCCGGGCCGGGGACTCGCCCTCTCGCTCGCCCTTGCGCTTTCCCTGTGCCCTCCAGCGCGCCAGCGGGACCATGAAGAAGTTCTCTCGGATGCCCAAGTCGGAGGGAAGCGGCGGCGGCGGAGCAGCGGGTGGCGGGGCGGCCGGGGCCGGCTGCGGCTCTGGCGGCTCGTCCATGGGTGTCCGGGTGTTCTCAGTCGGCCGCTACCAGGTCACCCTGGAGGAGTCGCTGGCTGAAGGTACGGGCGCCCGGGAAGGTTCGGGCAGGCAGGTGAGGGAGGGCTGGGGCGTGGCGGTGGCTTCCCGGGTCCTCACCCTCTCGACCCACTCTTCTTCCCTGTTGTGCCTCTTCTGCTGGGCCAAGAGGGCTCCTAGAGAGTAACTCGGGCTTTCGTTCTTAAGAACGGYGAGAAAAGCCGCTGGCAGCTCTGATTAGGGCGCCGTTCTTTCATTACTAGTTTAAATCGTTTTCTGTTTTTCTTGACGTGAGGAAATAACTACAAGACGTCCTAGCAAATGATGTGGTGTCATGATTGGGCCAGTGACTCATTGAGGGTCAGATCGAGCAGGATTGAGGCTCTGCTTTGCCAGCTGTGGCTCAGGCGGGTGTCATGCGTTGGCCTCTTCATCGGAGCTTCCACCCGCGATGCAGGGCATAGGACCCTGCAGCCCCTGGTTGAGCCTGGGATTTGCTTCTGCTCAGTCATCAGTTGAAAAACTATACACACATACAGTGTCTGTTGATACTCTGTCCCAAATTTAGTTAAGAGGTGGCTTTGGGGAGCAGGCAAACTTGAAGCCTGTTATCTTTGTTCTTTAGAATCTTCTACATCGGGCAAGGTACTTTTCCTGCCCTCCCAGTGTGACTTTTTTTGGTAGGTTAACTTTCACTCTTGGAGTTTTATGGTGAATCCTTCATTATCTATAACTAGTTAGGACAAAGGTAGAAGTCTAGTTATAGAAAAAGTTTACACTGTTTTAAAAAAACACTGTTTTGTATTTCTGGTATAAATGGCTTGTAGAAAATACTTTCTCTTTTTTATTGCATGCTTTGTTGACCTTGAACTTTTAATTGCAAAATGATACTACAAAATAAATGCCTAAAAATTCATAAGAAATAATTTCTCTCAGTAAATGGCCCTTTTAAGTTCTAAGATTAAGAGAAAAGAAATCTGAAAGAGTAGTTTTGGTTCTGGGAGACTTACTAGAGTTAGACCTTTATGTAGTTTGAAAACAGTAGATTGAGATTTCACTTCTATTTTTTGATATGCCATAAACAAGAGTATATTAGTGCAAGAGAAACACTTAAGATTTTTATCTATAAAATATTCTAGGCAGAAAGAAATATGGAATTATTCAGGGGTGAATGTCTAAAGTCATTGCTAAAAATAATAAACCTAGCCGAGTCTTGAAGAGGTGGTAGGAGGAGTATCCTTAGCTTCTCTAAAGAATAAGTATATGGTGACTGGTTTTGATATATTTACTATGCTGTAAAATTTCCTAGCTTTTTATTACACATGAATTTCAGGTGTTGGTTTAGATTGGGATTTACATCCCAATTTAAGAACACATGGCCATGAACTCAGTGTCATACTTCTGTCTTTGAGTTGTTTTAATATTTAATTAAAATGTAGCTTGAGTATTGTTACAGTCACTTCCTCACTAAATCCCAGACAGTTCTTTTATTTAGTATGTGGAAAGTATTGACATTTCTGTTTGTAACTTTTATCACTGCTCTAAGCATATCCTGTCCCATTTTCAATTAAAATATGTAGTTTTGAAAAATGAAAACAAAAATGACTTTCAAAAGGAGAGTTTCATTTACCTACAAAAACAAACAAAAACCTTTTCAAGCACTAATGTCATTGTTAAGAGTGTTCCACTGAATTTTATTATAAATTTGTCATTACTCATTTTGAAAAATGAGTAATCAAATGCTAGAGGGAAGCAAGGGTTAAAGATACCCTTTTGGAAGAGGAACTTCCCCAGCTCACACCTCAGCTCCTGGGATCCTGCATTGTCTTCCCTAAAAGAGAGCCAAGGCTTAGGCTTTTTTCCCTTGTGTATTTCTTATCTCTCTAGCCACATCCAACTGAAATTATGAATATTCAGTTTACTTTTGATCCGGATGGGTTTGTTCTTACTTTACATGCTTAATATCTCCTCTCCATTCCAAACAAGTAAGGCCAAATATCTCCTCTCCATTCCAAACAAGTAAGGCCACGAGTTAGATATTTAAGCACAAGTCTGGTTCACATTTAAGCATGATTAATAAGTAGTTGACTGGTTTTTGTCAATTGGGCCAAGTGCTTGCAAAAAAGCATTATAGTTTAGAGTACCTGATTAGGGGAGAAGTATACCACTGAGTGGAAAAGGTAGTAGAAGGTAAGACAGACCAAAATACAAACTTGGTAGATTTTACATTTTTTGCTTTGGGTCAATGTTGTTTAAACAGGACTAGAACATAGTAGATGCCATAGTAGATGCCATGTCATTATGTTACTGCAAACATAGGAAGCTTATTCAGAATGACTTTTGCAGTGTCTTTTCAGTAAATCTCTCTCTCTCTCTCTGTATATAYACATAATTAGTTATGTTCCAGAAGTTACTATGAACACTGCATTAGTGAATAGTGAGTTATTACTTTTAGGGGAAAATAACAGGGTTATGATCTAGTAAGCCTTTGTTAACAACATTGTTGTCAACTGATCAGTATAAAACCTTGCCTTATGTGAGTTTCTGTTTAAAGACATGTTATTTAATATATATTATTGATTCATTAGTATTACAATCATTGCCAGTAGTGCTGTAATTCATGCTTAAATGAGGATGATTAACAAGTATTTCTCTATTGGGGACATCACAGTAGACATTATTTTAGCCCTGTGCTTAGGACCACTTGCAACAGTGAAATCATCAATAAATAGCAAAAAATGAGAAAAACATGATACTAAATTAACCATGAAAAGGACACTTCTTTATAATAGGAGAGTTGAAGTAAGAACAAGTAAGTCAGGAGACTCCAGTTTTTTACCATTGTGCATATGTCTGTAAATGACCAGGAGAGTGCTGTGAATAATGGGCATTAAAACAAATTTTATCAAGTAGGGGGATTTGCAAACATGGAATCCTCAAGTTATGATGTTTAACTATTATTATACATATGTGTATACACATATCAATTATACATATAATTAAAAAAAAGCTGATTTTAGGGGCATACTCATTTTGTTATAGCTAAATTATTGGGGTGGTTTCCTCTCCAAAATATGTATTTTCTATCATATTGTCTTCCTAGTCAAGTGTATATACTGTATATTTGAAAATGCTGAAATTTGTACCTTTTTAGTTCTTGCTCAGAGTTTAGAGGACTGATATAGACATTTTCATAGTTTTAGTTTCAAGAATCTATTTTGAGTAAACTCCAACTTTGGGCTTTAGAAATGAATTAGAATTGTATGTCACTTTTAGCTTGAAATAGTCAAATTGTCAAGCACATGTAATTGCATGTAACCTTCAGGTTTTAATTAAGACATGGGATTGGCTTGTTCATATGTATCATGATAAGAAGGCCTTAATGATAATGGAAAGGAGTCAGTATTTGTGTAGGGTACATTTTTTTCCCCCCTAAATATTCTTGGCACAAATAGACTTAAATAAAATAAAATGTCAAGACTGAGAGACCAATGATAACTGGTAGAGATAATCTAATAGTGAGGTTATAAGGCTTAGATAGGAATGGTACTATGAATATGGTGAGGAGGGTAGGACTTACTGATGTGATCATGGGGGTTATTGGTTCTGTCAGTAGTTGGAGCCTCTAAAACTTAGTTAACTGTTTAGAGTGAGTAAATATAAGCTAAAGATTAACCAATTCTCATTGTTAATTTTACAGGAAGGTAGTAAAATATAACATCTGATTTTGCTATAGAAATCAGTAGATGTAAGTATATATCCTATTTGCAAAAATCATCTGTGGCTACTCAGTAATCTCTAAATTAATGCTCCCAAGAGAGGACAGAGGGAAAGATTTTACAGAAATCTCAACAATCGTTATTAACCCACAACTTTTTCCTTATGCACTGCTAGGTGCTACTTATAGAGTGGCCTTATGAATTTTATAATCTAGTGTGGGAGACAAATGTTAAAACCAAGCAAATAAAAATCATTCAATTAATGTAGTTACAGTTGAAGAGAAATTAGGGTTTTATGAGAGAACAACTAATTCAATTTAGATTAGGAACTCAAGCTTTTTTCAACATTTTGCAGAAACCTGAAGGATGAGAGGATTTAGACAAAAGTTTTGAGATATGAAGGTAAGGGTGGTTTGGAGCTTATGGTGAAAAGGAAAAACTCTTTGTGAAGAAGTATTTCAGGAACTGAAATATTCTCAGAGCTGTGGACTACAATGAATGAATCAAGAAGAATAGAGACCCAAGATAATGTTGAAGAGGTGACCTGGGTCAGGGATTTTGTATGCTATTTGAGTTTAGGTTTTACCTAAATTGCAATGGGAAGATATTGAAGAATTTAAATTGGGACAGTGACATGCAATTTATATTTTCATATGGTCATACTGATTGCTAGATGGAAAGTGGTTGAAATGGGGATGAAATGCTGGAGGTGGATTGGACATTGGTGCATTAGTAGGAAGTGTCAAGAATGACTTGCTTATGCAATTCTTGGATGGAGGTACTATTTGCTGAGATAAGCAATGAACAGATTTGGTGGTGGTGGGAGTGTTGGGAGACTATCTAGTAGTCCATGTTTAATTGAGACATCTGGGAAGAAATGTCAAATTGGAACTTGGGTATAGGGGATGAAGCTCAGCAATGAAGGCTGGGTTTAGAGATAAGTACTTCAATTTGTGAGTATTTGACTGTTATTTAAAGACCAGGGAGAGGATGGATGTAGGGAGACAGTGTAAAATGAGAAGGTGCTCACTGAAGATCTCCTGTAGAGTGTTGGTCTCAACATTTAGTGTTCTTCAGAATCCTTCGGAGGATCTGATAAAACCCAGAATGTTGAGCCTGACTTCCAAAGTTTGATTTTGTCTGGGGAAGGCCCAGCATTTGCATTTCTGCCAGCTTTCTCAGTGGTGCTGATGCTGCTGATCCCAGAATCACACCTTGAAAACTACTGATTAGAGCAGGAGAAGACCTAAGAAAGAGCTGCCAGAGAGGTATGAGGATCTGATACCTGGAAACTAAGACTATTTCAAGAAGTAGAGGGAGTGAAC